ATATTAATTTAACTTAACCAAAAACTAAAAGTTAAAAAAGAAATAATAACACTTCACTCAAACAACACGTTCAGGGCAGAAAAAATCAAGAATGGGTTCTTCCTTCCATCGCCGCCACAGTAACCCCAACTCTGGTTTCCCATAAGAAAATCCAAATCCACCCATCCCCTTGCAATTTAAAGTGATCACTATGTAATAAACAAAGGGAAAACTAGAATTAAAGAAACAAATGAATGAAGGTCTGCAAAAAAAATAAAATTCATATGATGTAATTGCAGGATGCCCACCTAAGATCGCTTCCTATTCACATGTTAATCGCTTCTTGATGGTATAAGATTCATGGAAATCATGTTAACTAGTAAAAGAGGAGGAAACCCAATTGTAGAAACCGAAAAAGTGAAAGAGCCAAATTAGAAAAACTTTTTAGGTTTGCAAAAAAAAATTCTTCTAATTATGCCTTTGCATTCAACTGACTATTGGTGGCTCGAGTAACATCATGTCTACAGAGGGTCGTCTACGACGCCGGAATCAGAGGTGCTGTGGCAGTGATGGGAGGAAGAACACGTTCATGATTTTCTCCTTTGAACGTGTTTTTGTTACAGTGAACTTTTATAATTTATTTTTTTAATTTGGATTTTTGATTAAGTTAAATTAATATCTTGATTTTTAACTAGTTTTTTCTGAACCCTTAGATTAGATTCAAGAGTGGGTGACCACAAGTTCCTTGGACCATAGGGGTCCAAAAGAACGGGACTGTCGTTTGTTAATACACTTACTAAATTTTATTTTTATTTAAGGATTTAACATTTAACATGTTGTAAGAAAAGGGTTGAAGAACAAAAAGTTAGAAAAGGTAATTTTGTTTCTTAAAAAAGTATGTTTCCATTTCCCATCCTGCCCCTACCTACTACTATTTGCAAAATACGAATTTTTGTTTAAAAAGAACGAAAAAGAGAGACAGACAGATCAACGGCTGGATATGAACAGCGTATCATCAATCCTATACTTGATTTTGTACCCTATTATCCCCTTTCCCACCCGAATATTAAATGGAGAGAACGTTTGAGTTCCCGCCAAACAGAATTTGGCGCGCTTTCTTTTGTCTAAATTCCCTCTTTCCCCGAGCTAAAGCCCTTGCAGGCCCCTCTACCTCTCAGATCTCAACTTTCTCCTTCTTTCGCTCTCACTGGAACTCCAAACAAGCCCAGCCTGTTCAGCTCATCAGCTTCTCTCTCTGTGGTTCCGTTTGCGCCCTTTCTCTCTCACCTACCCCTTTCTACCCCTTGTTCTTATTGCCATTCTTCGCTCGTGCGGAATCCCCAAACAGAGGTATCTTATAGAAGGTAATCTCTCTCTAGCTAACCTAAGTTTCTAATTTTAATTTCCACTTTGAAGTTTTGATTTTGATTTGTTTACAGTTGAAACCCACTAATTGATTAGGGCTTCAATTAAGGTTTTCATTTTTAATATTCTGGATCTACGATTTATTTAAAGTTAAATTCGTCTGTGTAATATGGGGGTCGTCTGAAAGTTTTTGTTTCCCTACAGGCGTCTCCGATTCAATTGGCTGGAGCAAAGACCTAGCAGCAGTGGTGCTCCTCGTGGAGGAATCTGGTAAATTTTTTGTCTTTCAATTTTTTTAATCATCATCTTTTTGGGGCTTAGGGTTTGATTTTCGTTAAATTACTGTTACGTGCTGCTAAATTAGAATAGTTACTGGTCACTTTTATGTTTTCCGTGTTGATATAATAGTTTGATTTAATAGTTTTGGAATATTCAATACTCGGATTTTTTTTTATCACTAGTGTGATTTGGTGTGTGGATTGTATATTAAGTTTTTAAGGTATGGGCCTTGCTTCTAAGCTTGACACATGATCTTCTTTCCTGAAATTAGATTTTTTTTGCTTTTCCACTTCGTGGGTATCTGTGTTTTCAGGCTGTTGTGCATTTTGGGTTGCAGTACTGGTTTGAGAACTAAGAATTAGTTGAAAATGTAATGCATACTTGATCAATTTGTAATTACCCATAATGACCCACTTATATAATCAAATTCTGCAAAGTTTGTTTTATCTCTGAGAACAATTTTTTTAGTATTTCATGATATCCTATGGTTATACTATATGTGTAAATATGAATTTCACTGCATGTTCATATTGTTTATCGTTTATTTTTCTTTGGGCGTTACATTGCATTGCCTTGTATGTGATGAAATCGATGGTTACCATTATTGAAACTATCATTATATTGAGTAAAGTTGGCCTTTGTTGCAGGAAAAGCATCTCATGCATTGTAACAATCATTCCAGTACTAACAAGAAGAATTGAGTTTTACCTGTAAAAGCTCTGATGGAGTTAAGAAGTTGCACTCATTTGCACTTCATCCAAGCTCTGAAAGGTGGTTTACCGGTAAAAACTCTGAATGTGGCTCGTGGAAGGCCAGTTCTCAAATTCAAGAAGTTGATAGACATATGTGAAACATTAGATGCCAAAAATGGTGATTCGTTTCCAGCAATTCCACCAAAAGATGAGTTCAGGGGCTTGTTTATGGACAGGGATTGGGTCATGGGCGAAAGTACAAGGAACTGTACTGTGCGAAATATAACAGTCAAAACTGAACGTGAAGATTCTGGTTTTAATAGTAGCGACAACAATGATGGAAGGGATGATTTGGATGGCTTTGGTAATATGACACTGAAGCAGATCAAAGAGACATGCAAGAGCAAGAAAAGAAAGCGTTCAAAATCTGTTGATTTGAAGAAAAAACTTGAAATGTGCTACCCTATAAAGCAAGAGTATTCTGAGTTGCAAACTGATGAAGAGGATTGTGATCTCGTAGAGCCTCTTAGTAATTGGAAAGTTAAACTCTCAAAGAAGGCAAATGCCAAGACTAAGAGCAAGTGTATGAAAAA